TGTCGGCCGGCTGGCGGGGAGCTCCTTCTGCCTTGGATGCTGGTAGGGAACTGCCTCTGGCCTCAGCTTGTGGTTTATAAAGGCCAGGCCCTGCCCCTTCTTTCAGCCGGCTAGGCAGGTGTAACCCATTAGCCCCCTTTTGTTGCCTTAGTGACCGGCACCTGACGAGCCTTCCTGGCTCTCCTAGTAGCAGGCACCTTAGTGTCCTGCTACACTATTCAAAGAAATAAATTGAATTTTAATACTACTAATAATTGAATAGAATAGCTAAGCTAAGCCAGATCCTAAACACTCCTTTATAACACGAAAAAGCAGCAGGCAGGTCTCAGTTGCAGTGTTCCTCTCTCGTGCAGCCACTGACAAGGAACGAGCAGCAAAAGGTGGGGAAGGGCTGGAAACAGAGGCTTTTATACTTTTTTTAGTCCCACCCCACAGACACTGCCATTGGAAAGGTAGCCAGGGAGAAATCCTTCTGACTGGCTACCTACAGACGTCAATCTTCCTGCCCCCCCTTCCCCCTCCCACTCTGTCCCTCCCCTGCTCCCCTTCCCTCTTCTAATTGCTTCAAAATGGCCAAAGCAGGTCCAAAATATCCAAAGCGAATCCGAAGCATTTTGGATGCTCCCGACCCACTCTGGACACCATTGCTGGGATCCCACTTTGATTTGGAAGTGCCATTTCAGACGCCGAAGCATCCAAAGCGGGTCTGGATCCGAAGTGGGATCCGAAGGCTTTGCACAGCCCTAATATCTGCCCTGCTTCCCAGCAGAGTTTAGAGCATCACTGGAGTGAACCCTGCCACTCGTCATGCGTCAGCTATGCTAATGGAGTTGCTCTGTGGTTGCGTGCCTTCTGTCCCGGCAGTGCAGTTACCAACGGCTTTCAGGCTGAACTCATCAGGCCGTGTCAGCTCTATAGTGTCAGAAACCAACCTTCAAGAGCGTCACTCCGAGACACCTGTTTCCTGCTCTGAGAACTCCGCTAAGGACTGGGCCCAAAAAAGGTGTCTGTGGCCTGAAGCTCCCTCCTCAGCTCCAGCGGTTGATTGCACTTCAGAGGTGTCTCCAGTGCCATGAGCATACTCGGGTCTGCAAAGAGCTCTCGAGTGCTGGTGTCTGGGTATCCAAAGAAATTCCTTCGTTAGCACCCTGCAGAGCAAGCCACTGAAATCATCCCATGCACCCCCCTCCTCCGCTCATCAAGATAAAATGGCTTAATTCATTTCTATTTTTTTAGGAAAAACTTCAAGCCCATTTGAAGACTCTGAGGAAAAGAAAAGAAAAGCTCCTGGGATTAAAACAGACTGGAGAAGGGAAAATCCAGGAATCCCTGGTAGGTGTCTTGGGACCACAATGGGAGGGATTGCCTGGGCTGAGGGGCAGTTCCCCAGAACCACCTCCTACATGATTTCACCGAAGAAGCTCGACACATGTGTGGTCCTTGTAGGATGTTACTATTGACTGATGTCAATGGATCACAGTGGGGCATAAGGGAAAAGGGGTGCCAGAAGTATGCAGGGCCCAGACTCTTTAGGGCCTTAGAGGTCAAAATCCAGAACCCTGTTTTGCACCCAAAAAGGTGGAAGCCAGAGCAGCCTCTGGAGCACTGGAGCAACGTGCTCCTGGCAACCGACCTCTGGCACAAAGCAGGCTGTTGTGTTCTCCAACAGCTACAACTTCTGGCTATTCCTCAAAGCAGGCACATAGACTAAAGAAATGTGCTTTCTGTTTTTGAGGTTACATGATGGTGGCCAGTTCCAGGTACAGGCCAGACCAGAATTGGTGACATGTGCCTCTAGTCATCCTCATCTAGTGAGTGTTTTCTTTATTCCCCACAAGCCAGGAGGCCTGCCAAACATCATCACCTCTGACTTGCATGGATTCAGCTTCAATTGCTTCTCCTGTGTCCAGTCCCCAGCTGTTGCCAGCTACTGGTTAAGGACCAAGACTGGAGTACTTGGGTCAGATGAAAAAGAGGGACAGTGTACTGATGGTGCCTCACTTCAACTCTCTGACTGATCTCCCCCAGCATGGCCACCCCCACCCTTAATACGTATTAGGGTTAAATGCAATGGCAAAGCGAAATTACTGCATATCTGCCAGGGAGAAGGATATTATCCTGGTGTCTTGGGCTTTGCCAAGAATCTGTCCCCTGCACATGCAGGCCTGTGTTGGGGTCACTTAGTATTGTTGTTTTACAGAAACAGGCAGGAGCCGAGAGGCAGAAGATTGTGTCTGAGTTTCAGAAGCTGCACCAGCTACTACAGGAACAAGAACAACTCCTGCTGGCCCAGCTGGGAGAGCTGGAGAAGGAAGTTGCAAAGATGCAGAAGGAAAAGGATACCAAACTCTCTGAGGAGATTTCCCATCTCAACGAGTTGATCAGCGAGATGGAGGTGAAGTGCCAGCAGCCGGCGAGTGAGTTCCTGCAGGTGAGACTGTGCTGGAGGCAGCCCAGAGCCTTGTACTGGGATGGGTGGGCTGCTGACTCCTGACGTCCAGCAGTTAGAGGCCACAGGGCGACCTGGTATGTGCATCACAGACATGACAGGTCTTGATTTCTGAAGAGTTAGACACACGCATGCCAGTGATGGAAATCTCAGCACTCGGCCCTGTCTCTCTCGTGTTTCCAAATGCCTCCCCGAGACCCCCAGGGTGTGGCATAGAATAGATGATTCACTTTGGATCTCTTTGTCTTCCAGGAGATCAGAAAGACCCTCAGCAGGTACGTGGCTCCACTTTACTCCTCACACGGGCTGGTGCTGAGAAGCAGCTGAAGACCACAGTAGACTTGTGCCTCGCCAAGGCTCAGCAGTCTGGTTGGTGGGGCAAGATGAAATTTCTCCAGTGAACTTAATCCTGAGGGGAGTATTTCTCCAAAACGGGGGTGTTGTTTTGGCTATTTTTAACTTAAAACCTCTCCAACAGATGTGACTTCCCCTGAGGTCTGGCTGGCTCTGGGCCCTCGGTGTGGAATAGGGGCCAGTCTTTGCTAGGTCATTGGTCACAAATCTACCCAGGTCGGCAGCGACCAAGGCAGGGAAAAACATCTGAATGGGGCAGTGTGAGGCACGGTCGCACTGCCACTGCCCGTGCTGCACCTCCACGGAGCAGGGCTGAGCAGGGAATGGCACGGAGTTCTGCCAGTTCATTCACTCACCTGAGATGGGTTTTTCTAGGTGTGAGAAGGGGGAGATCCCACGGCCAGTGCCAATTTCTCCTGAGCTGGAAAGGAGACTCCAGGACTTCTCCCAGCAAACCCATGCCCTGACAGAAACTTTGAGGAAGACCAAAGGTACTGAGAGAGGATGTGGGAGGGGACCCAGGGTGCAGTCTCTGACTGTGGGCAGAGATGGGCTCTGGTCTAGTGGCTGAAAATTTGGTTATTTATAAAAGGCAGAAAGCCAACAAACTAAGTGGACAAGGAGGATCCAGGCATTAACCTTATCGCATTTGTTCACCCTGTGACCTCAGAAAATTAAGGCCCAAATTTAACCACATAATTCTCACAGTGCTTCCCCAGGACGCAGCCTAGCAGGGCATATGCTCTGGGCTCTGTCACTCTCAGCTGCACGAGGAGTTGGTGGGAGCTGTGGGAGCCCATCGCCTCTGAGAGGCAGGCCTTGTTGCTCAGTGATGGACATCCAGAATAGAGAACCCAAATCAAGGGTTTTTTTCTGAAATATGGGCCCAGCTAGTCTGGCTGCAGTGGTCTGTAGGGAAGGAGAAATCTGCCCTCCCACTTCTCCCTCCTCCCCAGGAGCAGCAGGCACAGGGAGGGCCCTTGTATGTGTCTGAAGTAGGAAGGGGCAGGTGAGGCAGATGGAGGGATGTTCCCTGTGGGAAGCTACACCTTTGATGTCCTGCTCCCTTGCAAAAGCAAGACATCACCTCCAGGCAGAGATGGTGCCACTGCAGAGGTGCAGGGAGATGCAGGGGCGGCTTCTGAGGTTACAACAGCCGCAGGTGCTGGTAGCTGGGGTAGAGATGGAGCCACCCCAGCATCTCTGCTCAGTCTGAGGCACTCGGGTCAGAGAGGTGGGAGCTGGGCTGCAATGTCCGTACCAGCCTGACAGCAGGAAGTGTCATGTCTGTGCTCTTTCCCCCTCCAGATATTCTGCTGTCTGCCTGGGAGCAAAAAAGTGGGGATCTGCAGGGTTCACACACCAAGGGTAAGCTCTCGTGGGGATTGTCCCGAGTTGCAGCAAATTCCCAGAATCCTGCATGGAGTCACGGAGACTTTCTCTTTGCATAGGCCTGTGGCCTTAGACTTATGTGTAGCTGCTCGTTTGAGGGGAGGGAGGTGGCCATTGTCCCTCAGGGCTGTCATGTCCCTCTCCTTGCCCCTGGCAGAGGCTCCCCTGGTTCTTCTCCCATTCCCTTTCTCTGGGGCAGGGCCGGCTCTCCCTGGGCAGCTGCTCCCTCCTGTTGTGGGTGTGAAGATGCTACTGGCTTGTGCCACTCCTCATCCCCTTGCACTGCTTGAGTGGGTCCTCTCCACAGCTGCCTCTTCGCCTCCATTCCCAGCCTGGGAGTGCAGGGCTGAGGGAGTTGGGGCTGTCACCTGCCTCCTTTTGCCCCCCTCACTCACAGCTTTGGGGCCCTTCCTGCCTGTGTCCCTGCTGCTGGGAATGGGGCAGCCCCTGCAGTGGGTAAGGAGCAGGGGCAGCTGGCAGTGCCAGGCTTAGGAGCTGTGGGGCCGTCTGTGCTTAGCCTCTGGGCTCAGGGCAGAGACAGCTCCTGGGGCCATGGGGCAGTCCCTGGGAGAATGGGACTGCTGGGGAGGGTGAAGAATGGCTCTGCCTGCCCCAGGGCTGAGCTGATGCTGTTCTCTCTCCCAGTGGCAGTGACTCTGGCTCCAGACACAGCTCATCCCTGTCTTGTCCTGTCTGCGGATCGAAGAAGTATGAGATGGAAACAGGCACGGCAGCCTCTGCAAAATAATCCTGAGAGGTTTAACTTTGCGTACTGTGTGCTGGGCCATGAGGGATTCACCTTGGGGAAACACTGCTGGGTGGTGGAGGTGAGGAAGGCGGATTGCTGGGCTGTGGGGGTTGCCAAAGAGTCTGTGAGGAGGAAGGGAAAGTTCTTCTTTAGCCCTGAAGAAGGGATCTGGGCTGTGCAGAACCAGTTTTATGGCCAATTGGAGGCTCTCACTGCCCCTAAGCCAACACCCCTCTTCCAGTGCCAGGAGCCCAACAGGGTGCGGGTCTGTCTGGACTATGCAGCAGGGCGGGTGTCATTTTTTGATGCTGACACTGAGGACCCAATCTTCACCTTCCCACCAGCTTTGTTTGCTGGAGAAACAATCCGGCCATGGCTCTGGCTCAAGCCTTTCATTCTATTTGGTTCTGGTACACCCGCACTTAGACTGTGCCCCTGAGCCAGGGATGGGATGTTACCCAGCCAAGGGTAATGTGGGTATCTCTGGCCTTGTTCTAAGCAGTCTCTCTGACCCTGGAGGACTCCCCTTTACTCCTCTCTACTCTTAGGACAAGCTTAGGTTGTGTCTGTACAGACCAGACCATGCCACTGCTGCAGCAGTAACAAGGCATGTTGCTCCCTGGCTTTTGAGGGCTCCAGCGGGGCTGGCAGTACAGGGTCCCCTGAGGGAAGCCCCCAGCTCTGGAGCATTGGTCTGTCTCCGACCAGAGCAGCCCAGGGCTGGGGGCTCACTGCAAAGTGCCTCTGGGCATCCTCTGGCCAGGGAGGCCCCAGCTGGGGATGTGTGGGAGGCAGGCTGGGTCTGGAGGTGCAGCTCTGCTACTGGGGCGCTGCTGGGCTGGTTTGGGTTGTTTTTCATGAGCAGCCAAGGCCCCTGGGCTGGGGGTTCCCAAGGAGCTGGATGGAGTGAGATCCGTCTTTGCTGTAGGGGCAGAGGCTGAGAGACCGAGACAAGGAAGGGAAGGGTAGTGGGGGACTGGACAGTGCACTGGCAAGGGTGAGATTCAGGGGCAGGTTCACAGATGGGAGCAAAAGAGTTGTGGGGTTTGGGACACACGAGCTGTTGCTGCCACAGGGACAGAGAATGAATGAAGTAGGATTTGGGAGCCTGGGGAGAAGCTGGAAGCTCCCATCTGCTTTGAGCAATTAATACAGCCCTGTGCAGTAGGATCTCAACTGGATCTACCAATAAATAGCTTCTGCAGCAGGCCCCAAGCCCCTATCCTCTGTCCGTGTGGAAGAGTTAACAGCATTCCCATGTTCTCATGCCTAGAGGTGGGAGGGGAATTCAGCCACCGTAGGCCTGAGAAGTAATGCAGAATACATCTTTAATGTGGTTTACGAGGGCTCCTGTCCAAAGTGCTGTGAACTTTGGGGGCTAACAGTGGTGCCCGGGTAGGGACAGCCCAGGTGTCAGCAGAGGGACCAGCAGAAGAAAGACAAAATAGTGAATTCCAAAAAACTAACTGGAGAGTCCTTGGGAAAGGAGGAGAAAGGATGTGGGGGCCTGATTTGCACCATGGAGCAGAAGATTGTAGGGACACAGAGAGAAAGGACCATGGCTTCAAAAAAAGTGCTGGACAAATCAGTTGGTGAAAGGAGGGAAAAGAGAGCAAGAGGGAGATTCCCAACAGGCTTCCCAGGGCGAGGCCAGCTCCTTGGTGCCATGTATTAGTACGTGGATTTCCCCATCCCTCCCTGTCATGAACTAAGCAGTGGGGCATTTCACAGACATCCCCACTAAGTTGGGTCAATGACCATCATGCTTGCTCTCTTATAAGCAACTAAAACCAAGCTCCCATATGTGCATTGTTATTGTGAATATATTTGTATGTGTTCAGCTTTAGGGTTAGACTTGGAGACTGAGGACTTCTGTTCAACAGTAGCTGAGTCCATGCAAAGGGGATTTTGTTAGTGTTCCTGTGAAGCACCAGGGAAGATCTCAGAAGAGATGATGTGGATTGGTTTCAGGAACTGAATGAAGGAAAGATGAAGTGTTAGAAAAGACTGGATCAAAGGAGAAGTCCTTTGCTGGGAGGGAGTCACTCATATTTTCAGGTGAAATAGGAGCTCGAGCCAGAGAGAGGCTGTGGGGTCTTCCTAGAGATTAGTGGGCTGCTTGTTGAGTGAAACAAGGAAGGCACCTGGAAGCTGTTCCAAGTCAGAAGGTAGCAGTGCAGTGTTTTGGTTTGATTTTTTGTTTGTCTGTCTGCAAGTTGAATCTTTGTCCTGTGTTTTTCTGTCTTATGCAATAAACCTATTCTGATCTTACTGTTTCTCTTGTGATTTTGTGGCAGCTAGCAGCAGCGGGTTTCACCGCTTGTACAAAGATGGCACACCTATTTTTGCAAGCTTAGGGAAGCCAAGAGCTTGTTGGTTCTCCACCAAGATGTAAGGTCTGGTCAGGGAGCTGGTCAGATTGAGTCTTGCTAAGCAGAGAGGAGTCTCCCATGAGCAAGACCCAGTCTCAGGGTACAGCAGGACACTGGGTAGAGGTCTGTGTCCTGTAGATAGTCACCAATCCAGTTTGGCGTTTGTCACATTCTCCTTCCCTCCCTAGGCTTGCCCAGAGCCAGAAAGCTGAGGGCCGGGCATGAAGGGATTTATCCTTGGGGGTGGGATCTGTAGCACGTCACTCCCAGCGCTGTCCTTGTGTCAAAGTTTCCCAGCTCCAGAGTGTGACCTTGACTCTCATTCCCTGCCTCGGTGGGGAGCTTGGGAGTGGATGTGCCAACTCATGCACCATTGACAGCCTGAGCATGACATAGGATATTGCAAGTGCAGTAGTCACTGACTGCACCGCACTTGCTTTCCCTTTCTTGACATTTCCTTGACTTTCTTCTGTCCTCTGTTCCTCAACTCTTCACAGACCATGGGGCACAGGAGCTAGACCTCCAGGGTACTGCGAGGCATCCGGCCTCCTCCTCATATGGCTCAGTGCTCTGAATAAAACCTCCTCCTGCCGCTCTGCACTGACATGAAGGGAGATGGTGAATTGTCAAGGAACCTGTGCCAGTGCTCCTGTGCAGGAGGGAGAAGTGGGAGGGGGGATTTCTCCTTCCCTACAGCCCACTGCAGACAGACTAGCTGGGCCCATATTTCAGAAAAACCCTTGGATTTGGAGCAACAAGGACTGGCTGTAGGTCCCTATTCCAGCTGTGGGATTACTTAGAGGTGGGGCCATCCCAATACTGGGCATCTCTTGCTGACATATGTAGCAAGCACAGAGCTGGGTTGGGGCCATGTGGATCTCTCTGTCCCCCTGGATATCAGATAGACTCTGACCAGGTATGTACGTGGCTCCACTTCACTCCTCCTCACATGGGCTGATGCTGGGCAGGGGCTGAAAACCACAGTGGACTTGTACCTCCCCTGGGCTCAGTAGTGCGGTTGGTGTAGCAGGATGCACATTTCACCGTAGTGAATTTAATCCCAAGGGGAGCATTTCTCCAAAGCTGAGGGGGTCATCCACTCTATCGGACAGGCCATTTTTAACCAAAAACCTCTCCAACAAATGTGACTTCTCCTGAGGTCTGGCTGCCTCTGGGCCATCAGCGTGGAATACGGGCCATTGGTCACAAATCTACCCAGGTGAGCAGTGACCCGGCGGGGGGGGGAACATGAATGGGGCAGTGTGAGGGACGGTCGCACTGCCACTGCCCGTGCTGCACCTCCACGGAGCTGGGCTGAGCAGGGAATGGCACGGAGTTCTGCCAGTTCATTCACTCACCTGAGATGGGTTTTCCCAGGTGTGAGAAGGGGGAGATCCCACAGCCGGTGCCAATTTCTCCTGAGCTGGAAAGGAGACTCCAGGATTTCTGCCAGACAACCTGTGCCCTGATGGAGACTGTGAGTGTGTTGGAGGTAAAAGGAAGGGATGTGGGAGGGGGACACAAGGAGTCTCTGTGGCCGTAGGAGGAGATGGCCTCTGGTTTCTTGGCTTAAATTTAGGTTACTTACAAAGACAAAAACTAAGTGGACGTAGTGGGGCCCAGGCATTAGTACTTCACATTTGTTCACCCTGTGACCCCGTAAAGTTATTAAGGCCCAAGTTTAGCCACGTAATTCTCGCAGTGTTTTCCCCAAAACAGGACCTAGCCAGGCAAGTGCTCTGGGCTGTCTGTCAGTCATAAGTGCAGGAGGAGTGGGTGGGAGCTGCAGGAGCCCAACCCCTTGGAGAGCCACGCTGCGTTGCTCCGTGATGGACATCCAGAATAAACCCAAATCGAGGGGGTTTTCTGAAATATGGGCCCAGCCAGTCTGGCTGCAGTGGGCTGTAGGGAAGGAGAAATCTCCCCTCCCATGTCTTCTCCTTCCTCCCCAGGAGCAGCAGGCACTGGGAGGGCCTCGGCATGTGTCGGAAACGGAGTAGGGAGAGGCAAGCCACAAAGATGGCAGCATGCTCCCTGAGGAAAGCTACATATTTGATGTCCTGCTCCCTTGCAAAAACAGGACATCTCTGTGCATCCCCGTGGCTCTTAGTGTGGGCCTCTTCTGCTCTCTCCAGGCTCTGCTGCACCCATGGGAGGAGTCTGTCTCTCCTGGCTTCTCCATCACACTGTGCCTCATGCACCTGCTCCCATGTATGTTCACTCAGGATCATGCCGTAGTAAAGTGGTGGGGCAATTGCCCCAGGCGCTGAAGCAAAGCGGGCGCCAACAGGTGCTGCCCAGCCAAGTTGGGCCATGGGATAAATGATGGCAGCTCATTTGGGAGGTGCAGTGATGGGGGAAGGGTGGCTCCTGTCACTGCGTGCACTTCCGGCAGGAATGATTGGGGGGGGGCATGTGTCCCCCTGGATCTGTGCACGGGGTGAGGATGGTCTGCCGCTGCAGGCTTTGCCCCGGGCACCAAACTTTGGTGCTTCAGCACTGCTCAGGATAAGTCCAAGGGCTTATTACGAACAGAAACATCCCCCTGTAGGCCATGCTAGGGCCCAGCCACTTCCTCATGACACATTCTGGCATTTGCTTCCATCTGCTTGACTAGATTGTTGTTAAGAGATGAAGAGGCAGGGGAAATGAGCAGGAGAGGGACAAGGAGGTCAGAAGTCAAGAGAAGGACAGGTTAAGAAGGGAATTTGCCTTGTTCAGTTAATTATTTATTAGCAGTTGGACTTGGTTTAGGGTTTCTGTAGGTGATTAAATATACGCATTGCTACCTGACAACAAGCAAGACGTGCTTGATAACCAGGGATCCTGGTTGTCCCTAATAAAAAAAATCACCAACTCTCTCATACAAAATGGCAAATTCTCTTATAAACCCCTCAAAATCTGTGATTAAACTGAAAAGCCACTCACTGCCCCCCCCCCCCCCCCCCCCCCCAGCCCTCTGGCCCTGCTCTGCCCCACACTTCCCTCCCTGCAGCCCCCCCAGTCCTGCTGGTGCCCTTGCCCCCCACCCACAGCCCTGCCAGAGGGGTCCTCCAGCTGCCAGGGCTATGGGGCTAGGGACCCGGGACCTCCAGCAGGAGGCTGTGGGGGGTGCTGCAGGTATGATCCAGCATAGCAGGGCAGTGGGGCCATGTGGGGATCTCCTTGCCGCTTTGAGCTTCACACTGCCCTGGTGATGCACGTCTGCCCATGTGGCAGCAGCAGAAGCGTTGGGTGGTGCCCCCCTCGCCTACTGCCACACACACAGGGGCGCGTCATCAGGGCAGCACAGAGCTCACAGTGGCAAGCAGCTGCCCTGCATGGCCCTGCTGTGCCCTGCAGCGCCAGGTTGCAGCTGCTGGGCTGCAGAGGCCCCGAGGGAGAGCAGCAGGGTAGGGAGCCTGAGTCCGCAGCAGGCAGCCCGCCCCCGCCCTGCACACTGATCTGGAGGGTGCAGTTCTCCCATTCACCCAGGAGTGCACGCAGCAGTGGGAAACTGGCCCCGTCCCCTGCCTCCCAGACACACTGCCCACAGCCCCATCTCGCTCCCTAGCAGGGCCCTGCAGCTGCGTATTTTGGCCCTGGGTCCCAAGCCCCATGCGCTGCCTGGCTGTATAGCAGCCCCAACCCCAGCCCTGCCCAAATCACTCCCTACTTCCCCTCTATGGGGGCCTCATTCTCCCTCTCCCACTTACTTTTGGGAGCTATGACTTTGCATTGTTGCACACTAAACTACATCTGGATGTAGTTTAATTTGCAACCTTGCAAATTGCAACAATGCAGCTGCGAGAGGTAGGCAGCACAGCCTCCACGGAAAAAAAGGATCGGGCCCCTTGGCATTTCTGCCTTCAGCATGTGCCTCCTGAAGGTACCCGGCAGGGGAAATACCGTGACAACCAAGGTGATTTTCCCAGGGCCAAGGGATAACCCCCTTTCTGGCATGGGGCCAGAAAATATTCCCACATTCATTTTCCGTGGGAAGATCTTGGCTTTACGCCCACTTTATGGAAATGGGGCACTTCTTCCTAGCTTCTCCTGTAGCCACCATACAGCTGAGGGCGAGTGAAACTCAGGGGCATCCAAACCCCAAGCCTCTGGGCTTGGGCCTGCTCGTAGGATGCCCGCCAAATGATTTGGAAACATCTGAAGCCCCAGGTGGGGATGGAGTATGTTTGCTGGTAGTAGGGCCAAATATGGTTCTTGAATAACCCATGGATTTGGAATTGATTTGGCTGATTTGGTTTGGAACAGGAAACATTTTACTTAAAAAAGAAATTGGTGAGAGGCCCAGTCCCTTTTTTGTTTTGTTTTGCTTTCTTTTCTTTTCTTTTCCTGAGGAGCCTGCCTGCCTCTCCTGCAGCTGGGGTCCGGCTGCTGGTGGGCTGAGTGGTCCCTGAGCTGCAGGGGGCCCTGGCCCTTCCATCCGTGGCAGTGGCACCCCCCCCCGGCTACCTGGGTGGGCTGCTAGCCTGCTGGAAGCCTCCCAAGTGCTGCTTTCTGGGCGGGCTCGGGAAACAGTTGAATTGGGCTGGGTGCTGCCTCCAAGCTGGGGCACCACCCGGCCCGCTAGCAGCCTGCCCAGGTGGCCCCAGTGCCACAGAGGGAAGTATGGGGGTACCCTGCAGCTCAGGGGCCACTTGGCCTGCCAGCAGCTCACTCCAGCTCTGACCAAAAAAAAGAAAAAAAGGATCGGGACCCTCACTGTAAATTGAAATGGTGGGTTTCAATTAAAAACACACCGATTCAATTTGGAGGGATAGAACAAATCCCTGAGGTTTAGACCTCAGCGTGAACCCCTCCTCCCTGGCCTCAGCTGGCCACCTTCTGGAGACTATTCAGATGTTAGGCCTTCCAGGAGCCCCCAGAAGCCCCTCGGGCCAGGCTGCAAAGGGTGGTTTGCACCAACAAAAGGGGTCCTCCCTGCCTTATAGAGACATCAGCACAGGGGAGCCTGGGAATCAAGACCTTCCTTCTTTTCTGCCCCACCAGCGGGTATGAAGGGGCCCCATTCCCAGGCAGCTGCTGGAGAGGCCGCTCTTTTGGGCACTCCCTGTTCCTGGAGGGTCTTGCTCCATGGCACAGCCTGTTTCTGCAGTGGTTGAGGGGTGAGGGGTTTCTCTGGGCCCTTCTTCTCCCGCTAAGAAGGTGCAGGTGATATTCTTGGGTTCTGCTCCACGTTTCCTACAGCAAACTTTGTGCACTAATATGGGCTCAGCTGCTCCACCTCCCTCACTCCCCTGCTGCTGTAGTCCTCCAGACTCCTGCTCCATCCTTACCCATCAGACTGTCCCGGCTGCAGGGCAGGGCCCCCCTTAGCTGTTGTGTTCAGTGCTCAGGTCAAAGGGGCCTGGATCCTGACGGGTGCTGTTAGGCCAGGTTGGCGATGGCTGTGGGGAGACTCACTGTGGGGAGCAGCTGTCCATCTGTCTGTGCTGAGGGAGGGGTTGTGGGCAGCCATCCCCCAGGGTCTGATGCTGCAAGCACTCGTGCCCCTGCTGACCTCTGTGCCAGGGACTGTCCCATTGAGTTCCTGGGCAGGACTGGCCTGAGGAGAGCAAAGCACCGGGGATTGTGGGCAGGATCAGGGCTTCTGGGCTTTTTGTGCACTGAGTATCACTGCCTGTGTACAGAGAGCAAACAGGTTTCCCCAGAGAATCCAGGGGCAGGAGCTAGAGTGAGTTTCAGCTGAGGAATTGCTGAAATAATTTCAATTAAAAAACCCTTTACCCATGGACTCCTGCCAGGTCAGCCTGCATTCAGTGTCATTTCCAGGAAGGGAAACTCCCAGCTGCATATGTCTGAGCATGCGCCAGAGCTCAGGAAAGTGAAGCCAGCCCTGTCCCACCCTCCCCTCAGAGCCATGGCTGCTGCGAGCTCTGTACAAAACCTCCGGGATGAAGCGACCTGCTCCGTCTGCCTGGACTTCTTCAGGGATCCGGTGACGATCATGGGCTGTGGGCACAACTTCTGCCGAGCCTGCATCACCCGGTGCTGGGAGGGGGCTGAGACAGACGTCACCTGCCCCCAGTGCAGACAGACCTTTCCCCAGAGGACCCTGGGCCCAAACAGGCAGCTGGGCAATTTAGTAGAGCTATTGAGCGCGGGCACGGCGGAGGGAGCCGTAGGTCAGCGAGTGTGTGGGGAGCACGGGGAGGCTCTGAAACTGTTCTGCCAAGATGATGAAACCCCCATCTGTGTGGTGTGCGACCGATCCCGGGTGCACCGAGCTCACAGTGTGGTTCCCCTAGAGGAGGCTGCTGAGGAGTACAAGGTAGGAACCACTGCTTGGCTAATGCGCATCAGTTTTAGATTTAATTGCAGGATCATTTCTTCCCATCCTTCCTTCCACTGGTCATTTCTCTTTCAGGTGCTGGTGTGACCTGCTGTGGGGAGCCGCCCTTGTAGGGAACAGGCTACAAAATGTAATTTGGTGTGTAACAATCTCTAGGGCTTCTTTGGACAAAAACAGCTCTTAAATGAGAAAGACACAAAACCTCTTCTTAACAGTCCTGGAGCCTTGGTTCAAACTGGACCTTTCCCCTTTCCTGGTCCCCAGGGTTCACCTCTCAGTTCCACACTCACATGCTCCGTTACGCGGGACTGCCTCTGAAGCCTAATCTTGCATATCACTGCATCTTCCCTCCTAAATGTAACCCTTCTCCTGATCACCTTTCAGTAGTAACAAGGGCCAGATTTGATTTTGGGGTACTAAATATATTTTATCCTGGTTCGAGCCCCTACCCAGTCTACCTGGGAAACACCAAATGAATCACTAGTTGGTCTAATAAAACCAGCAAGCCTTTTCCCACAAGCAGTGTAAACACAAAATCCAAATTTATTACAAAGAATAAAGGAAAAACAAAAGTAAACACTAACTATAATTTTAAAACACTATAAAGTACAAAACAAAATCTGTATGTGGCATCCTCTTGGGGAGGCTTTACCCATCCCCAGGAAGTCTGGGATTTGGGACTCTCCAAAGGGTGGAAATCTGGAGGCCTGCACCCCTATAGCTGCCAATGAGCTACTCCATGGGTCCACTGCGCTGCTGGGAGCTGCTAGAGAATGTAGGTCATTCTGCATTGCAAAGGGCCCCTCATGGCTCCCTGTGAAATTGTAGTGTTGATCTTCACCCCACATGGTGGCTTTATCACCCCCCCTTCCCCAAAGTTGTTAGTCCTCATCCCAGCTCTGCTGGGGCAGGAAACTGCAAGAGAACTCAAAGAAAAGCTAGTGCCTAACCACACTACTTAGTTGGGGCATAAACTGCAAAAGGGACAAAAGAAGGCCCAGGCCTATTGTGCTGGGCCTAAACTGGGTGGCAAAAAGCTGAACAGGCATATGTACCACTGAGGCCTGGCTAAACGACAAGAAGAGCCACGGCTTCACCCTGGCCCAAATATACCAGCTGAACATATGGCTGGGGTTCAGCCCCACACAGGTGGACTGAAATGCAACAGCTGTAAAACAGCAAAAAAGGCCCAGGCTTATGGCTGCAGCCTGGACATGTAGCCTCAGCTATCCCATCATCCTGAGACACTACAACCCCCAACATGGGGACCAGTGAACTGCCAGGACCCCGTTTCCTGGTCAGCCCGCACTAGGGAAGAATGCACTCATGGCATCATCCCCCTCGAAACCCAAAACAAAAGGGGAAAGAAGTGGAAGAGAACAGAGATCTCAAGCCCCGAGACAGACTTTCTTTCCCTGTACCTGCGGCTTTCCCTTCATGTAGCTTCAGTGTGCTTCTTCAGTGAAGAGCAGGGAGAGACCCTGCCATGGGAAGCAGGGTTTTCTGGCTCCCAGTTCAGCTTTTTGCCTTCAGCAGCCCCAGGAGGAAGGAGAAAAACACACCTTTAAATAACTTTCCTGACATCACTACAAGGCCCCAATTAAGAAGCAGCATTATTTGAACACTGCTAATGCACACCAATTAATTCAAAGGTGGTCAGCACTCTTGGTGAAGTGGCCAGAGTCACCAGACTGGTTCCACAGGTTCCTTGGAGGGAATCTTAAGACAAAGAGGGATGGGAGGTGGTTCTCTTTCAATCCTGGAGGATGCAAGATACACAGCCATAAAACCAAAACACACTTCACCACACACAACTCCAAGTGTGTGTATGTGTTACATAAACAAAACCATAAGCCATCCCAGATAGCAAATTGCACAATCTGTATTCTCAGCCTGCCCATACTCTCCAGAAGAGAGATTACTAGCACATCACTCTGGAAGGAGTCTTTACCACTCACTTTTCCAAGCCTCTCTGTCTTGAGGTAGGTACACAAGTCTTTATGAGTCTTTCAGGGTGTTTGATCTTTCTCTCTTCTCAGCGTTAGCCCTTCAGTTGTCTCTGAGTTGATTTCTTGATCGTTGCTGATTTTTGCGGTACCTTGGAGGTTAACAAACAATCATCCAGTTGGGTACTAGAAAGTCACTATGGCTTTTACTTTGTCCAGGCTTTTGGGTACCACTCTTAACTGCCTTTGGCTTTTGCCAAACCATATTCCCATGGTCTGTGTGGACATGGGGTGGGGGAGTGGGGTGGGTCATATGCCCCTGGAAACTGTGCAGGGCAGTGTGGGGTGGGCCAGGTGGGCTGCAGCTGTGGGCTGGGGCTGGGGGCCGCGCTCCCAGTGCAGCTGGTGCCTACTCCCAGTGCAGTGAAGTGTAGCCCCTGGCCCCAGCCCGCAGCTGCAGCCTGCCCGGCCTGGCCCGCCCCACGCAGATCTGGGGGCACATGCCCCCTGCCCTGTGCCTTCCTGGATGAGCGGCAGGAGTAGCTGGTGGATGAGCCACTCCCAGACCAACGGTGCTCCCCTCCCCATGCCCCGCCACAAGCCACAGTTCTGTCCTGCACCTGCCCCGGCCTGGCTGGGAAGCGCCTGCCCCACTCCCTCCCTTACCGCGGGGGGTATTGATCTGCCCCCCACGTGCCCCTTCCCTCCCCTTTCACAACAGACTTACCAGCTGTATGCAGCTGTATCAAAATTGGATCAGTATCGGCCGATATGTCTCCTTAAAAATCGACTATCGGTATCAGCCCCCGAAATCTCTATCCATGAACCCCTAGGCTCAAAGCATTTTTATTTATTTAGGGAACACTTCAGACCCATTTGAAGACTCTGAGGGAAAGGAGAGAAAACCTCTTGGGATTAAAATGGACTGGAGAAAGGAAAACCCAGGTGTATCTGGTAGGTGCCTTGGGATCACAAGGGGGAGGGATTTCTGGGGCTGAGGAGCAGTTATCTAGAACCACCTCCCACACAGTTACATCAAAGAGGCTTTGTGTGCATGTGGTCCTTGCAGGAAGCTAAGCTTTGCTGACATCAAGGATCATAGTGGGGCACAAGGGAAGAAGCAGGTGCCTGAAGTATTCTAGGCCCTGACTTTGGCCTTAGTGGTCAAAACCAATATTGTGTTTTGCACCCAGAAAGGTGGAAGCCAGAGCAGACTCTGGAGCACTAGAGCAATGTGCTCCTAATAACCCACCTCTATCACAAAGCAGGCCATTTTCTTCGGCACCAGCTACAGCTTCTGGATGGTGCTCAAATGCAGGCCGATAGAAAGCACATTTCTGTGGTCTTTGCTTGAGACTACAAGGACGTGGATGATGGTGACCAGATGCAGACCAGATGGAGTTGGTGAAAGGTGTCCCTAGTCACTCCCATCGATGAGCGGTTTCTTTATTCATCATGTTCCACGGTCTCAGTTTTTATTAAAAAAAAAAAAAAAATCTGGGAATTTTTGAGGGTTTATCTTCAAAACATAAAAACCGGGGTGAAAGCAGGATAAAAGAATGAAACATGAAAACTGGGATGAAACTGGGATAAAAGAAAGAAAAGTAAAAAAAAATCTGTTTAAATCGCAGAAAAATTGGCAGTGAAGGAGGGAGGGGAGTAAGGCTGGGACTAGGGAAGGGGCGGGGGAGAGGTGTGGCGCAGCCCATCGGCTGCTCCCGGGCTACAGCAGGGAGCAAAGCAGGGGGAGCTGTCAGTTGGTGCAGGGCACGGAGCTCTGGGTCATGGCTCTTGCTGCTATGCACCCTCTGGGAGGGCTGTGGGTTGTGCTGGCCTCTTCTTGGGGGGCATGTGCCCCTGGATCTACGTGTGGGATGAGAGCAGGCTGGGGCCGGTGGCAGCACTGGGCTTTTCCTGGCGCTTGCCAACCTACTTGCACTGTACCCTGCGGCTGCTGCAGGCTGGGGCCGGTGGTGCTACCAGGCTCTTCCCAGTAGTTGGAGTGGGCGGCAGCCTGCCCTTGTCCTGTGTGCAGATCCAGAGGCATGCGTTCCCCCGGGAGGGCTGTGGGCTAGGCAGCTGTGCTGGGCTTTTCTGGGGGGCGCATGCCCCCAGATCTGCGCATGGGACAAGAGCAGGCTGCCCTGCGCACTGGGAAGAGCTTGGTGCTGCTGCCAGCCCAAGCCTGCAGGGAGCGGGGCCGGGCTGTCCCGCCTGTTCCCTGCCTCGCCCCAGCAGGGCTCGCAGCTCCCAGCGCCTGGGGCAGAGCTGAAGCCAGAGCTGCCAGGGTGCAGCTCGGACCCACCTGCCCCAGGAGCGATTCCTGTGGCCCATCCTGCCCTGCCCGGGGTCAGAGCCGGGAGCCCCGCACCCCCAGCCACCCTCCCTTGGCCCCCGTGCGGCCACCACCACCCTCCCTCCCCCGCCCCTGCTCCGCATGCGGCCGCTGCCACCACCCTTTCCCCCCCGCGTCCAGCCGCAAACCTATGCCTCAGGTAACTAGCACAGCATCACTTTTAACTTACCAGCACCACCTGTTTTTTAGTTCAAAATGCTGTTAACCAGTATGAGTGGGGAATGGGTCATTCCCCACTAGTGCTGGTTAACAGGGATTTGAACTGAAAAATGGGTGTAAATCAGGAAAAACCAAATTACTTCAAAAAAAATATCACGGAATTTATCAGTGAAAATTGGAAAAAACCAAGAACGCGGAACACTATTTATTCACCATAAGCCAGGTGGTTTGCCAACCATCATCACTTTTGTCCTGTCTGGATTCAACTTCAATTGCTTCTCCTGTGTCCAGTCCCCAGCTGTTGCCACATCCTGGGTAAGAACGAAGACTGAAGTACCTGTTTCTGATGAAAAAGCAGGACAGAGTTGGGTGTGACCAGCATAGCGATGGTGCCTTACTCCAAATCTCTGACTGATCTTATCCAGCATGGCCCCCTCCCCTTAATACATATGAGGGTCAAATGCAATGGCAAGAAGAAATGACTGTGTATCAGCCAGAGGAAAGGATATTATCCAACTGTATTGGGCTTTGCCAAGAATCTGTCCCCTGCACACTCAGGCCTGTGCTGGTGTCACTTCTTGCTGTTGTTTTACAGAAACGGGCAGGAGCCGAGAGGCAGAAGATTGTGTCTGAGTTTCAACAGTCCCACCAGTTCCTACAGGAGCAAGAGCAACTCCTGCTGGCTCAGCTGGGAGAGCTGGAGAAGAAGGTTGAGAATATGCAGAAAGAAAAGGTCATTAAACTTTCTGAGATTTCCCATCTCAACGAGTTGATCAGCGAGATGGAGGCGAAGTGCCAGCAGCCAGCAAGTGAGTTCCTCCAGGTGAGACTGTGCTGGAGACAGCCCAGAGCCTTGTACTGGGAGGGGAGGGCTGCTGGCTCCTGGAGTCCAGCGGTTAGAGACCACAGGGTGACTCAGTACCTCAGGGGTGGCCTATTATTTTGGCCTTTGGGCCACATAGGGAGTTTTGATGAGTTGTAGCCCAGGTCAGCCCCCCTCCTCCTGCTGCAGAACAGCTCAGCAAAACTCCCTACATGGGATGTGGGGCCACGAGAGGGCTGTATTCGGGAGTGGGACAGGCAATCGAGGCTGGGATCAGGGGCAGGGTCACGGGGTGGTGACCTGTACAAAGCCCTGTGGAGATCCACAATCCACTGCCTGCACATCCCTGCAACTGGTGCAAGTATTGCAGGCAGGGTTATGCAAGGAGTGGATCATTGCTCTTCCCTGGGCCCCAGCCCAGTACTGTCATTGCCCCAAGATCTTGGCCTCAAGGCAGGGGGTGTGTGCAGCAGAGCCCCGCCTGGGGCAGCCCACGGTATGCTCCTGCCCCCACCTGCTCGTCTGGCTGCGGCCAGCATGCACAGCTACTGGTAGGGCTGCTCCTGGTGCAGATACAGCTGCTCAGAAGCTGCTCAGCTTCCCTCATCTGCAGCAGCTCCTGCTCCTGCCCCTGCTGTGCCCGTCCAGATGGGGAGGAAATTGCAGCTGGGCAGCTCCTGCGCCAACATGCAGGGTTCTGGTTCCAGCTCGCAGCTGCCTTGCACCCACTCTGCCTACTCAACATGATGAACAGTCACCTGAGAGTGGCTTAGTGGCTGGAAGGTGGCTAGAAGCTGGACCCAGAGCCCTGTGTGCTGGGGCAGAAGCCACCTGGCTGAAGCTTCCTCCCCACAGGGATGGACACAATAGGGGTAGGAGCAGGAGTAGGAGCCTCTGCTGGAGGTAAAGGGAGCTCATCAGCACCCGAGCAGCTGCAGCTGCACTAAGAGCAGGCCCGCTGGAAGCTATTCTTGCTGGCTGGGGTGGAGCTGGGGCTGGTGAGTGCAAGCAAGAGCACAGCATTGACTGCCCTAGGTGGGGCTTGGACCCATCTGGAGTGCTGCGAGAGAAGCCACAGGACAAATCCAATAATTTGGCAGGCTGGATCCTGCCCACAGACCAGATTTTGCCCACTGCTGTTATACATGCATCACAGACATGCGTTGTTCTTGATCTCGAAAAATTAGACATGCACATGCCAGAGATGGAAAAGCTTCAGGAGCTCAGTCACTCATTAGCCCTGGAGGTTAAATAGTGCATCTTTATGTGCTTGTTTCCAAATGCCCATCTGAGATCCGCAGGGTGTGACATGGGCAAATCACGTTGTCTCTCTTTGCCTCCTAGGACATCAGAAAGACCCTGAGCAGGTATGTGGCTCCACTTAACTTCTCACACAGGCTGATGCTAGGAATGGGCTGCAGATCACAGTAGACTTGTGCCTCACCAGGGCTTAGCAGTGCAGTTGGTGCAGCAGGATGCAAAAGTCTGTATTGACCTTAATCCTGAGGGGAGCATTTTTCCAAAGCAGAGGGGTTTTCTATCCCATCACACAGGCCATTTTTAACCAAAAGTCTCTTCAAGAGGTGTGACTTCCCCTGAGGTCTGGCTGCATCTGGGCCCTCGGTGTGGAATATGGACCATTCTTTGCTAGGTCATCAGTCACGATTCTGTCAGGTTTGACCTAGAAACCACTACACATAGCCCAAGCAAAAGTCTCTGTTCTGTAACTAATGCCCAACTGCAATGATAAGGAGAAGACAGTCTTAGATAAAGGAGGCTTGAAAACAAAAACAGAATTAGTGGACTAGGGCAAAGAACTGATTTAAATATTAAGATTCACACCCCTAGGTGGGGAGAAAGTATGCTAATGAAACATACATGTATGGAAATGAGATACATAGCTAAAACACAGGTATAGAGACATGCTCAGTAAAGAACTCCTTGCCTCACTCCCTTATAACCAATTAGCAAACAAGAATGCTTATGAAGGTCCAATATTCCTGTATAAAAGATGCTTAGAATTAAGGATCTGTGTGCTTGTTACGTGAAATTATTCCGCTTGCACCTTGTATTGCTAGCAATAAATCTTTATACTTTCACCCCTGGTATCTTTATTGGCTTTTGCATACCGGGCACGATCCCAGACTTGAGCTGGGGCTCAACAATTCTACCCAGGTCGGCAGTGACTAAGGGGAGGAAAAACATCTGAATTGGGGCAGTGTGAGGCACGGTCGCACTGCCACTGCCTGTGCTGCACCTCCACGGAGCAGGGCTGAGCAGGGAATGGCACGGAGTTCTGCCAGTTCATTCACTCACCTGAGATGGGTTTTTCTAGGTGTGAGAAGGGGGAGATCCCACGGCCAGTGCGAATTTCTCCTGAGCTGGAAAGGAGACTCCAGGATTTCTCCCAGAAAACCTGTGCCCTGAGGAAGACTATGAGGACGTTCAAAGGTACAGTGGGAGGGGATACAGAGCGGAGTCTGTGGCCATGGGAGGAGATGGGTTCTGTCCTACTGGCTGAAAACCAAGCCCACGCATTAACATATCACAATAATTCACCTTGTGACTTCAGAAAGTTATTAATGCCCAAATTTAGCCCAATAATTCTCACAGTGTTTCCCCAAGAAAGAGCCAGACAGGGCATGTGCTCTGGGCTCTGTCACTCGCAGCTGCAGGACTAGTCAGTGGGAGCTGCAGGAGCCCAGCCCCTCTGAGGGCCAGGCTTTGGTTGCCCTATGGTTGGCATCCAAAATAGAGACTCCAAATCCAAGGCTTTTTTCTGAAATATGGTCCTAGGTAGTTTGGCTGCAGTGGGCTGATGTCCTGCTCCCTTGCAAAAGCGAGAAATTATCTCCAGGCAGAGATGATGCCACTGCAGAGGTGCAGTGAGATGCAGAGGCAGCTTATGAGGTTACAACAGCAGCAGGTGCCAGTAGCTGGGGTGGAGATGCCACCTCAGCATATCTGCTCAGTCCGAGGCACTCTGGTCAGAGAGGCAGGAGCTGAGCTGCAATGTCCTTAGCAGTCCGACAGCAGGAAGTGTCACATCTATGCCCTCTTCCCCTCCAGACACTCCGCTAACTGCCCAGAAGAAGAGAAGGAGGCATCCACCACTGTTATACACCAAGGCTAAGCTCTTGTGGGGTTTGCCCTGAGTTACAGCAAATTTCCAGAATCCTCCCTCAGCCATGAGGAGTCGGTGAGAGCTGCAGGAGCCCAGCTCCTCTGAGTGCCAGGGCTTGGTTGCTCAGTGGTTGGCATCCAAAATAGACTCCAAATCCAAGGCTTTTTCCAAGATATGGACCCAGCCTGTCTGGCTGGAGTGGGCTGTA